CAATTGATCTATGTATTGTGATGAATTGTATGAGCCCCAATAAATTGATTAAAAAAAAAAAAAGTAAATCCAATGAGAACATACACCCTTCATTTTTAAACAGGCACACATACTTTTGTTGCCAATGAGTCTTGTGTAGATATATATTTTTATAGGTAACTAAAAATACAAAGTTGTTTTGATTCAGAGCAGTGAACTAATAAGCATTTGACTGAATCAAGATTTCCAATTAAATGGAAAGTCAATAAGCAGAGGAGAGGGAAGCCATATGGTGATGCTGTGGTGTAAGCATTGGGCTGCTAAGTGAAAGGCTGGAGGTTCAAACCCCACCAGCTCGTGCCTGAGAAAGATCAGAAGGTCACATAAAGGTTTACAGTCCTAAACCCTATTAAGGGGTGCTGTCAGTCAGTGTCCATAGCACTGGGCTTCAGTCCTCTCTGAGGAATGGCTGACCATCAGGCTCCACCCCAGGCTTTCCTGTTTGAGGCTCTGTTCTGGTCACTGTTGTGGCTTTGTGCTTCTGTTTCTGCTTAGAACCTGTCTTTGAAGTTGGTGGTCTGGCTTATGCTACCTGGAGGGGTGCTGCTTGCTCTGAGCTTGGGAGGTGCCCGAGTCAAGGAAGGAGGCAGGGAAAGACATAAGGGCCAGAAGGAAGGAGATGGGAGAGGAGAGGGTGGGGTGATAAGCGGTATATTTGCCCCTAAAACCTTTCCAGGACTTTTTTTTAACCTGCCTTCGTTTTTCTAATCACACCACTGTCTTCACTCTGTAAAATATCCACTCCTAACTTCCCAGCCCCAAGTGATTCTGGAGAGAGATTTGCATTTGAAATGGAGGGAACTTTCCTTGATCTATTAACCCTTTCATTACTCTGTGTTCCCAGTTGGTTCGACTGTGCAATGAAGGAGCCCGGAAGATGGAGAGGACAGAAATGATGTACACGATTAACTCCCAGCTGGAATTTAAAATTAAGGTATTCACCTGCCTCTTCCTAAACAGATTTATTACTAATCTTGCTGGAATCCTGTGTAAAGGAGGAGAGATAGTGTGGTGGGGGGAGGGGTGGTAGTGGTCAACTTTTCTCTCCAAAGAAGGGCCATCAATTGATAAGAGAGGCTGCCAGATGAAGACTAGATAAGGTCCTTCAGGCTCTCTAACCCAGGTCCCAGTGAGTCTTCTCCAGGCCTGAGAAGGAGGTAGGCATGTCTAAGCGCAGTCTTCCCCACCCCCACTCCAAGGAAGACACCAGACTTGGGAAAGCTGATCATTAGAAAAAGAGAGTTACAGACTTGACAGGAGCCCATTAGAGCTTTCTTAAGGACTTCTCAAAGCCTCATGCCATGAAATGACAGAAAAGTGTGGCGTCCCATGAGTTGGACCACAGCGTTTTCCTAAGTCCAACAAGAACAGTTCTTTTCCAGGGTGCAAAATGTTAGTGGGTAGTGCAACTCCATTTGTTTCTCTCCCTCAATCCTTGCCAGCCTGATCCTGCTGTTGCTCAGGAGTGGTAAGCAGAAACTCATGTGGACCAGGGAAGCTTCTGAAAAGCAACACTATCCAATAGGTGTTGAGAAATTTCCCCCCAAACCCAGCCATCCTTAAAAGAAACTATTGTTACATGTATCCTCATAAAATTTGTTTTCATCTATTTATAAAAGGGAGGCATGGCCATTTAAAAAAGTGGAAAGGCACATAGCAAACTGGAAAAACATATTTGTTACTCCCATATAGAGCATGGGCTGATCCAGACAAGGAAGTAGTAAGAATAGATAGAAATGATAAGAAAAAGATTTTTTAAAAACCTTGAGAAATTAGAAAGCTGCTGAAAGAAGAGGGGGAAGGTGACTCAAGCCTTTAAAAAGATGGTTTACTTCACTCAGAAAAGTGCTACCTGAAAGTAAGGATGAATCTCACCTCTTAGATTCATAGTCTCGCAAAAGATTGGTAAAAAGGATTATGATCTCAATGGTGGACAATATGGCAGCAATTACCAAAACTACAAATGCAAGTTATTGTGACCCACCACTCAGATGTGTGCAGATTAATTTAGTTCATTTTTGTCCATTAAAAACTCAATGGAACCATTAGAAAATGGTTGCAACAATGGTTGCATCTGTTTTGATAGGCAGTTGCCAGAAATTCAAGCCAGATTCAGAAGAGAATCTGGAATGAGGGTTAACGTTGCTGACATCAGATGGGTCTTAACTCAATGCAAAGAATGGCAGAAAGATGTGGAATCGTGTTTTATTGACTGTACGAAGGTATCATCAGAGCACTAGGCATCACAGTTAATTGTGTGAGTAATAACAAATTATGGACAACATTGAGAAGAACAAGTCATCCAGAACACTTCACTGTGCCCATATTGAACCTGAACCTGAACCTGAACCAAGAGACAGACATTTGAACACAAGGGACTGTTGCCTGGCTTAAAGTCATGAAAGGTATGCTTCAGGGCTGTCTCTTTTCATCACATTTCTTTAATCTCTATGCTGAGCCAATCAGGAATGGAGGAAGGCTCGTTAACAACCTGGCAATATGCAGATCAGGAGACCTAGTGAGTTATGCATTGGGCTGCTAACCATAAGGTCAAAACCACCAGCTATTCAAAAGGAGAAAAATGAGGAATTCTATTCTCATAAAGATTTACAGCCTCAGAAACCCACAGGGACAGTTTTCCTCTGTTCTATAGGGTTTCTGTGAGTCAGAATTGATTTGATGACAGTGAGTAAGGACTTGTAGCACTTGCTGCTGAAAATCAGGGACTGCAGCCTCCAGTGTGGCTTACAACCCAATGTAAAGAAAACTAAAATCCTCACAACCAGACTAATCAATAGCATCATGTTAAATGGGAAAAAGACGGAAAGTTATTAAGTATTTCATCTTACTTGTGTGCACACTAAATGTTCATATAAAAGCAGTAGTCAAAAAATCAAATAATATATTGCATTGGACAAATCTCCTGTACAAGACCTCTTTACAGTGTTGAAGAGCAAGGCTGTCACTTTGGGAACTTAGGTATAGCTGACCAAAGCCATGGTATTTTCAATGTGCATGTGAAAGTTGGACATTGAATAAGGAAAATTAGAAAAACCGATGCATTTGGTGAAGAATATTGAAAGTACCTTGGACTGCCAGAAGAACAAACCAATCTGTCTTGGAAGAAGTACAACTCAAATGCTCCTTCGAAAAGCAGATGGCAAGACTTTGTCTCACGTATGTTGGAAGTGTTATCAGGAAAGGTCATTCCCTAGAGAAGGACATCATGCTTGGTAGTGGAGAGCCTGTGACAAAAGAAGATGCTCAGGGAGACGATTGACACAGTGGCTACAACAAGGTGCTCAAACCGAATAGAAAAAAACAACCAATGGAGTGCACGGCTCTCCTGGCACAGATAAATTCAGGAATGTTGAAATTACACACACACACTCACAGAGTGTATGTATAGCACTACTTGAATTGCAGAAGAACCAAAATATCTATCATTAGAGGACCTATTAAATAAACCATAGTACATCTAAATAATATGATACCACTCGGCTATTTAAAACACTTTGGTGTGAGTGAGTGAATCCTGGTTTACTGGGGGGTGGGTGTGTTTACCGATTGGTGTTTGGGGCCTTGCTAACAAGTAGAACTCCAGAATTTAACTGGCACCAAGAGGAACTCTGAGATTTCTTCGCCCTTGCATCCTCATTTTGCTGACCCTTAAAACTAGTCAAAGTTTATGCCAAAGTACTTCTCGAGGATGCCACCTACCACAAAGGGCATAGAAAGTCTCTTCTCTCTAGAAGTTATTTCCATGCCTTTGAGGGTTCCATTTTGTTCATGAATTTTCTTTATAGTTTTTGGTTTGCCCTTGTGAGAGAATGAGAATGATTTTCATCATCTAGGAATACATTCTGAAATAAGATCGGATTTCTCTTTTTAAAAGAAGCGTAGACATATTAAAAAATTAACTCACTGTCATGGATTCGAATCCGACTCATAAGGACCCTATAGGTCAGAGTAGAACTGCCCCGGTGGGTTTTTTAGACTGTTACACTACGGGAGTAAAGCCTCATCTTTCTTCCTTGAAGCAGCTGATGGCTTCAAACTGCTAACCTTGTGATTAGCAGTGCAGCAAATAACCACTATGCCACCAGGACTCCTGGGGCATATTGAAAACTACTGACTATTTTAAATGATTCATTAGAAATTTACTTTTGTTTTAGTGGAGGATGAAAGTTGCATGAAAATCATCCTGCTTTTAAACAACATAACATCAACAACAACAAAACTTTCTTCCTCTGATTTCTAAATTAGGAACAGGTGCAAGGTTGTTGGAACTGAACTGTACTATGTCCTGGTCCATCATACAGGGCTATATGTGATATAATTCAATGTGTTCCCAATAATTACCCTCCCAATGGTTCTAACCTACAAGATGAGTCTTTATGGTGACCGTGTGTGTGTGTGTGTGTGTGTGTGTGTGTGTGTGTGCGCGCGCAGGCTGGTCCTTTAGCATTCCCTAGACCTGCTCTGTCTCACATCTTTCAATAGCTCTGTCATTCCTAGTGGACCTCTGTCTGAGTCGAGATTTGGAACCAGCAACGCGACTTCCTTAGCTGTCACATTTGAAAGTTGGGACTCAGCCATAATCTCATCTTTCTTTTCAAACCTTAAAGAAAATAGTATGTAACTGATCAAAAACTTCATGTAAGCTCTCTTTTTAAAGTTAAGAAAATGTTTGAAATCCTAAATAATTATATGTATCCTCATGGATAGTCTTTTCTATGATGGGTTATGCAGCCAAAATGTGGCATGATATATTCAGGGATAAACTTCTGTGTGAAAAATTACTATAAATTTAAGAACAAGTGTTCTTACTTAGCCTTCTTGTTTGTTCCCTAATATTTCCAATATCCCTTAGTCATTTTTAAACATTACTCCCCTCAAAGAAAGAAGGACATTTGATTGTACTACATTACTATGTTTTGTGTGCCCAAGAACTTTTGCTTGTTTTATGAATATAATTGTTTGGGTTCTTTTCACATCAGATTTTTGGCAGTAACCATTTCTGGTATCTTAAAAAAGGTGGGGGGAGGGCGGCAGCCAGGGGAGTGTTCTCCAGGGTAAGGAATAGTCTGTGGTTTTGAGAGTTTTCCAGTTGGCTTGTGCAAACCTAAATAAAGGAAAACAAGTATGAGATTCCTTGGATACAGCCTTTTCTATGTGAGTATGAGAAAGTACATGGGAAGAACTTGATTTCCACAACCAGAAAGTGGCACTGTGCTTTCAGGAATGAATGTGGCTGGGGAAGACTACCACACAGTGGAGAAGAGGTGATCTCAAGGGGATGGCTTAGTCGATAACTGGTAGGGGTTTGTGGGGCTTTTCTTCCACCTCCCTCTTTCTCTTTCTCAAATAGCAACTTTTAGGTTCCTAAGGGAAATAAAGGCTTTTACAGTTGTCCCTTGCTAGCCACTATTAGATCTGTCTTTGTAGACCCTGTCTTGACTCTTTTAAAATAAGCACAGTTGAGAATAATAAATTTCATGATGAGGCTTTTCAATTTTAAGTGACCCCTGTCAATCCTTCTTCAATTGGGTTATGCTTTGGGGCGCACACAATAACGTTTTCTCATTGAATTTTAGTTGTCATCTATGGAAATTAATATGGAAATAAGTTCTTTTTCATTTACTCCTGGAGAATGCACTATATTTCTCTGATTATATTTAACATTGGACCCTTGTTTCCCTGGGTGGTGCAAATGGCTGGGCTCTATTGAAGGGTTGGTGGTTTGAATCCAACCAGATGTGTCATGTAGGAAAGGCCTGATGATCTATTTCTGAAAACTCAGCCATTGAAAACCATAAGGAGCACAGGACTACTCTGACACACATGGGTCACCATGGTCAGAGTCAGCTGGTTGGTATTTTTTTCAATCATGCAAAATTTTTATGGAGTGTACCATAATATATGTCATTGGGTTTGAATATAAGGTATGTGTTCTACTTTTGACAGTCACAAAAGGACTTTTTAGTTTAGCCCTGGGTGTTGAGTTTTTTTCTCTTTTTATAGCCCTTCCCTTTAGTCTCCTCTTCCCGGTGGTTGGTAAAAAGAGGTGAATTGACCGCTTATGTAGAAGATACTGTGCTTTTCTCAAAAAGGATGTCTAAACAGCAAGTCTACTTCTTCCTCTTTAACGACGTTCTAATTATCACCAAGAAGAAGAGGTAAGCCTTTTTTGGAATTGCTGCTTATATAGCCCAGTTTTACTATTCTGTAATTCATATGCTTGCTGGCGCTGACCATCCTTTAAAAGCTTGATATGTTAGATGTATAGTTTCTATGCATCGAATCACAGAGCTTTCACTTGTACTTATCTATACAGCCGCCCCCCAAAAAAAACCAAGACCACTGTGATCAAGTTGATTCCAACTCATAACGACCCTACATAGGGTTCTCTAGACTGTAAATCGTTATGGGAGCAGACCACTTCATCTTTCTCCCACACAGTGGCTGGTGGGTTTGAATCACAGACTTTTTTTTTAATTGTTTTATTAGGGGCTCATACAACTCTTATCACAATCCATACATACATCAATTGTGTCAAGCACATTTGTACATTCATTGCCCTCATCATTCTCAAACATTTGCTCTCCACTTAAGCCCCCGGCATCAGCTCCTCATTTTTCCCCTCCCTCCCCACTCCCTCCTCCCTCATGAGCCCTTGATAATTTATGCACTGTCCGACATCTCCCTTCACCCACTTTTCTGTTGTCCGTCCCCCAGGGAGGAGGTCACATATAGATCCTTGTAATTGGTTCTCTCCTTCCAACCCACCCCTCTCTACCCTCCCAGTATAGCCACTCACACCACTGGTCCTAAAGGGATCATCCGCCCTGGATTCCCTGTGTTTCCATTTCCTATCGGTACCAGTGTACATCCTCTGGTCTAGCCAGACTTGAAAGGTAGAATTGGGATCATGGTAGTGGGGGGTGGAGGAGAGGAAGCATTTAGGAACTAGAGGAAAGTTGTATGTTTCATCATTGCTACATCGCACCCTGACTGGCTCGACTCCTCTCCGAGACCCTCTGTAAGGGGATGTCCAGTGGCCTACAAATGGGCTTTGGGTCTCCACTCGGCACCACCACCACCCAATTCACAGTGATGAGATTTTTTGTTCTGGTGATGTCTGATACCTGATCCCTTCGACACCTCGTGCTTCTTCCATGTGGGCTTTGTTGCATCTGAGCTAGATGGCTGCTTGTTTACCTTCAAGCCTTTAAGACCCAAGACGCTATATCTTTTGATAGCCTGGCATCATCAGCTTTCTTCACCACATTTGCTTATGCACCCATTTGTCTTCAGCATTCATATCAGGGAGGTGAGCACGCAATATGATTATTTTTGTTTTTTGATGCCTGATAACTGATCCCTTCGGCACCTCGTGATCACAAAGGCTGGTGTGCTTCTTTCATGTGAGCTTTGTTGCTCCTGAGCTAGATGGCTGCTTGTTTACCTTCAGTCCTTTAAGAACCCAGATGCTATATCTTTTGATAGCCGCACACCATCAGCTTTCTTCACCAATTTGCTTATTCACCCGCTTTGTCTTCAGCAGTTGTGTCGGGAAGGTGAGCATCATAAAATACTAATTTAATAGAAGAACGTATTCTTGCTTTGAGGGAGCACCTGAGTGGAGGCCCAATGTCCTCCTGCCACCTTAATACTAAACCTATAAATATGTGCACATAGATCTATTTCCCCTTACTCATATATAAATATATATGCATATGTACATGCCTCTATTTAGACCTCTATAAATGCTCTTTGCCTCCCAGCTCTTTCCTCTATTTCCTTTGATTTTCCTCTTGTCCCACTATCATGCTCAGTCTTCATTTGGGTTTCAGTAATTCCTCTTGGTTCTATTACCCTTTATCCTGCCCTATCAGACCTCCCACACCCGCCTCACCACCGATCCAGATCACTTGTTGTTCCCTTGTCCCTGGGTTTGTTAACACCACTTCCTTTCCCCCCAACTCCCCTTCTCCCATGTCCCCCCGGAACTGTCGGTCCCATTGTTTTCCCCTCCAGATTGTTCATCCAGCCTATCTTATTTAGACAGACCTGCAGAGATAATAACATGCACAAAAACAAGACGGAGCAAAACCAAGCAACAATATACAATACAACAACAACAAACCAATGACAAAAAAACACAACAAGAAAGAAAAGCTTGTAGTTAGTTCAAGGATTGTTTGTTGACCTTTAGGAGTGTTTTCCAGTCCAGTCTGTTGAGGCAACACAGTCCCCCCTGGCCCCAAAGTCCACCTTCAGCATTCCCTGGGGACCTCGCCGCTCCGTTCCCTTGCTGTTCTGTTGCACCCCCATAGTGTTTTGCCTCAGTGTGGTGGGTTCAGATCGGATGCGATTCCCACACTGTGTCTCTGGTGTTGTCCCCTGTAGGGCTATGGATCAGTGAGGGGTGTTATGTCTCATAGTGGGGCTGGCCTTGTGGTCCTCTCTGTGGACTGGCTGCTCTAGTTGGGAACATTGTCCTCATGGCCTGGTGGGCCAGGATGTGCTCCACTGTCTCCTCCTCCCGTTTCATCTGCTCCCGTGTGCTTCGATCAGATATGTCCCTCTCCTGGAGCTGCAGATTCAATGCCCTTCTTTGAAATAAGTTCTTCTGAGGGGAGGGACATGTGTCCACGTATTAATTGAGATTGGGGTCGGCCCCCAGACCTCTCCACAGGTTCCCTACTCCATGCTGGCATGTTGCATTCCCATCTTGGAGCACTGGGTTGAAGTCTGGTCCCTCTTTCCTTGTGGAGATATAAACAATACCCTCCCCTTGGGGAACCACAGACTTAACACCCACCCGTAACCCATAGTGCCACTAGGGCTCCTAATTAGATCATCATCATTATCACTTTAGCCCACCTCTGTTGAACTTTTTACAGCGAGTATGCCACTGGTCTAATCATTTCATATGTTTATATCACTCTATTTGTATGACTTCCTTGGGGAAGTATGAGCCCCAATCAGTGTTTTTAAAATTGATTTATTTGTACAAAACAGATAATAATTGCTCTGACTGAGGACAGACCAAGGGGTGGAGGGGTGGAGGGTGAGGTGGTGATGGGCAACTTCTAGGGCTTCTTGTGGCTTACCTTAAACTTGAGTGCTCTTAATGATGATTAGTCTAAGAAATATCCCCTTGAAGAGAATGGGATAAATCAGGTGGTAGGTAGAGCATTCGGGTTTTGCATTCATGACCAACTACAGAGCATTTCAGGAGGGGTACTGCAGAGGACTTTCCGTACCAGCGTCTGTTCTCTCCCACTGTCCTCGTTCCACCCACACACACACCTGCACCCTCAGCTCTGCCTTTCTCTAGGGGCCGTTATTTATTAAATGTATAAACTTTATTACATACATAGGCCTGTAAAATATGTTCCTGCTGGTCCAAGAAAAATATCCCATCTATTCTAGAATATGAACTTGGAGTGAAAGCATGGATCTATAGTGTGTTATTTCCACAGCTGAAGGTAATGATGGCATTGAATAAGAGCAGGGGTAGTGTGGGAGGGGCAGTTTAGACAAAGTGAAAGAGAACTGAAAAAATCGACCTCCATGAAAATACAAAATAAGTACCCCCCACTTACTGTAACATGTTTATTTCAATGCTGCTTGTGAATTTCTGTCTTCTTAAAGATTCTCACTAAATTATAAGAGACTGAGTTTTCCCTTCAGTGCCTCTTTACCAGCCGTGTTGTGACCGATTACTCTGCTGCTCTATGTCTAGCCGAGATGAAAGCTTGTTGTAGGGTCTTCTACGCTGTCTAATACATACAGGTTATGATGAGTTTTCATACTTAGGAAAATGGTGAATCTCTCTCATACCTGGGACACTGTAAGTAGCTCTAATAGCTAAGTAACAAGTAGAGATTAGAGGGGAATTTTAATGCTTGTATTTTTATGTTTTATTGATTTTCTGAAAAGTAGAACTTTTCCATGATTTTTCTTTCTTTTTTAGATGGTTTGCTTTAAGGGGAGGGTATTTATGCATGTCTCTTCAAATACCTGAGCTCTTGACTTTTACCATTTTCCGGCTGTTGAAATATTTGTTCTATGTCAGTGGACCAAATGCTTTAAATAAGCTTTTGATTTTAACAATCAAGCATACGTTGGTGGCACCAAAATAATTTAAAGCATGAATGTATTATACTTTAAATTTATTATGATGTCTTCTATGACATTAATGAAAAACATTAAAACTATTTCAACCAGGATGACATGACTTTTATTCTTAAGCTCGTGCAGTGCTTCCCAATAAATGTAGACTTTGAAAATGAGTGTTCCAGAGTATGCTGTTCTACTTCCCAGCATGCTTTGCCCTCCACAGGATGTTGAGATTATATTTGTAGTCAGGCATGCTGGCTATTCCAGGTACACATACACTTGTATTATTACTAAAGGAGTGAGCCAGATAGCCAGCTCCAGTGGAGAGGGCAACTTGAGTCTAACTGAGCCTTTACCAAAACTGGGATTGACTTTGTCCTTACGAACCTCTCACCTTTGTCTAGAGTACTCTCAACTTGGGAAATAATGTGCAGGCACAAGCTGTTTATGACCCGAATATGTGGCCAGAGTGACAAGCAGACCACAAAAGGTTGATTAGCAGGCTCGTTAAAAATGTACAGTATGCACGGCCGTATTTACACGAACGCTTCAAGGAGGCAACTGTAGATGCCTTGCATGCCAGAGGCGGCATGGAGGAGAGGCGCTAGCTTTGAGCAAGGCAATCATTTAGGCTTCGCAATGAGGTACAGATAAAGGCTAAGTACCTGTGCCAGCTCTGATCCAGCCACCCACTGCCTAATTGTAATTCCAGGGTTCAGGCAGGGAGCGTATCTGCTGGGGCTCCAGTGGTTTCCAGCTTCAGGGAGGCTTCTGCTGAGGACAGTTCCTCTTCCTCCCTGGATCCAAAGAACAGA